TCTTCATTTACTGGAGAATACTAAAAGCTGATACAGTATTCTGGAAAAAATAAAACAGCTTACTGAAAAGAGTTCCCTATGGATTTATAGTTTTGTAACTAAGTTCCTTTCTCAGTCGAGAACTTAATTTGCTCCCAATCATGTACTCAATTTGCAGTCTGAATCTGAAAACACTTTAAGTAGAATGAACCAAAGAATAAGTATTTAAATCTGCGTTTAAACATACAACTCCTATTGATAGTAATTGTAATACTGTATGCTTAACAATTCCCAGCACTACTATTGAATGACTTGCTATTTAATCCATGTATTAAATTTAGCAGCATACTACTTTCTCGTGGTTATATCACTAATACAGCAATAGCGATGCTGATTTTTAAAACGTGTAACTGGTTCCCTTGTAAAATAGATGGAACAAATTTTTTTGCAAGATTGCAAGTAGTCTTGATAGCATTTTCTTTTCGCCTTTTAAAAAAAATTCAGTAGTTGCCAGACACTAGTCATCTTCTAAAACTAACATTTATAAAACTGTCTGCAGAAAAACGTATTTTATACTCGAATATGAATGCAGTCTTTATTCTCTTTTCCACTGTCTACTTTATTGGCAAGTATGTAGATTTCAGTAAATATTATACATCTGCAAACACTGAATACAGGCCAGGGAAACTATTCCAAGTATATTTATAAGCTGTTGCTAAATGAAAAAAGTTGGTGTTTTAAATTAATGTTATGAGTTTTCCATTATTATGAAAATGAGATATTCACATTATTGTAAATGAGATATTGATTACATTTTCTCCTTTACCATTATGTAGTGGGTTTTTTTAATTAATACTTAAGACAGATTAAGTGCTACTCTTTCGTGTAGATATGGCTATAATAGTTAACAGTTGAGTTCCTAAAAACCTTTATGAAAGCCATAGCTTTTAACAAACATTCCATGCCCTGTGGTTACTTAAATAAACCCTCTAGGTTTCTGCAGGACTTTTATGATTCTCTCAAAATTACAAGAAAGTGGATGTTTTTGCTGGAATATGATATGATCACAAATGACAATTTCACGCAAATATCAATTCAAGAAACAGTGAAAGTTTTTTTAAAGGTGAACTTATCATAAAGCTGAATATTGTAAGAAGGATCAAAGGACAAAATTAATAATTTTAAAATGAATATATCTATTTTGAAGATTAAACCTGACAAAGCTGTTTGTCAATTTGAACCTTTATTTAGACTGGCAATTGTCCAAACTACCCTTCAACAATCCTAGTGTATAGACTACAAGTGGCATTACCCCAGATTATAGGAAATAGATATCCATCCTAAAAAATATGGTTTTAGAAACTATGGTGTATGGAGCCTACAAAGTGACTCTAGCAAAAATTGAGTGTGCTATTCCGCAGATGTTTTTTTAATGGTTTTTAATGATTTTTCAGGTATGTTTTATTTTGCTCTATTGTTTATTTTGTTTTTATTTTTACCTTTGTATATTCCTAGAATCACACATGTAAGATGGGTGGCTATATGAATTAATTAAATGTAAGTAAGTAAGCAAGCAAGCAAACAAGCAAGCAAATAAGTCACTAATCAATATCTGCATGCTATGTTCTTTCTTTGAATAGCACTCTTCCCGAATTTGATTAACAACAGTCCTGATAAGAGTTAGAAAAGCTATTAAGCCCTGGATATTCCACCAATCATCTGCAGAATTATGTACTTGGATCTTTTCTTCTGTCAATAGTGAGTTTGTTCCACTATTGTCCCATTTGAGTGTAACATCCCTAAATTTGTTGATATGACTTCAAAAAATGCAATGTTTTAAGGGTGTGGATGTTGATTCTGAATTGCATACCTCAAATTTGGAATTTACTATTATGGGAAAAAGCATAGATTCACTGAGCATAGAACTCCCACCCTCCCGCAGCTCTGAATTTACAATCTTGTATTGATAGGTGTTTGCTTTCTACTTTCAAAGTAACTCCTTATTAATGTAAACACAGATCAACATTATTCGGTTGACTCATTGCTGTACAAAAATATAATATGCAAAAAGAACATGAATAAATGACTAATTAAAAGGTTTAAGTGACTGCAAACAATTGTCAAAACAATGAATCAGGTGACAAACAAGACTCTCTAGAAAGGATATTCTAAACCTGTAGGAGAAGGCACCACTGAAAAAGACCTGATTGTGAGCAATCTTGCCAAACCACTTCACGGGGAAGCTCTGGGAACTGCCCCTCCAAGGTTTATTGTAATGTTTGGGTAAAAGTGTCTGTTCTTGAACATAGTGTGATTCAAGGCTCAAACATTTATAAGTTATTACCAGCACTTCAAGAACTGGGCTGGTACCTTGGCACTAAGAATCTCTCTTGTAATACTGATCTATTGCCTTTTAGTTAAATTCATTTGTTACTAATTACAAGTTTTACTTCCTCTTATCTCCAATAGCTTCTAGAACATAGCTGTGTCTTATTTTGTGTCTTTAGTTATCCATGCTGCAATATGAAAAACAAGAAAAGATTTGTCCCAGAAGTGAGTGACACAATAAGTAGTGTCCTCTGAGTTTAAACCTTTTTAATTCTTGTGCATTAGATTTACATTCTAACTTTTTTCTAGAAGCTCAGACTAGAATTAACAGATGTCTACCCTCCTCTTAGCCCCATAATTGCCCTGTGAGATGGGCTGAACTGAGAGAATTTGAAGCCACCAATGAATTTTCATGGCTAAGGATGGATTTAAGCCCAAATCACCCATTGTGTGATTTCTTCTGGGTGAGGAGAGGGCGAAGCTGATTATATACACATTAAATATCTAATTTAAAGAAAGTTACTTAGACTTGTTTATTATCAAATTCCTGAGGCAAGCTCTATCATTTTCCATTATTCTGCATTTTTTAGATGAGATAATTGAGCAAGCAAATCACCACCTTAATTTCTTACCCATTTAAGGATACTGTACAAGAAAGTTCAGAGACCTGCAAGTGTTTCTTCAAGGTTCACAAATTGTAATTCTTTTGGGGGAAGTCCTTTCCATTAATGTTTATCTCTAAGATAAAGTACATGTAAGCCTGGAATTCTAAAGCAGGGCATTCAAGAGTGGGGCAAAAAAGGGGAGACTGGAAAGCGAACAAAGATGAGTTCCAAAAATGGAAAAAAGGAAATCAAACGAAGGCAGTTACTTTTTCCTCCTAGCACTACCATTTTAAGAGCAGACTAAATTTATTAACTGTCTTTTAATTGTACCATAAGTAAAATAAATACTGTGACATACTTGGACAAATACACTATTAGCACAAAATAAGAACTCTTGTAGTCTTATAACAAAGATTAATAGGCTTGCTAAATTGCAGTTTCCTAACTTCAATTCAACAAAAGTTCTCATACTACAAAAATCTGAAAAAGCATATTTTTATTCCAATAAAACAATTTAAAAGAGAATGCTCTTTAACATTTAAATTAGCAAGTTATTATTTATTTCCATTAAATGTTTACGAAGATCTATTAAGCAACTTAAAAATAAAAAAAGAAGAAAAACTAAAACAAAATGATAAATTAGGGTTTAGAGATGTCAGGGAGGATATACTGTAATTTTCCAACAAAACATTAATTACTAATAAACAACTGAATGTGTTATATTGTTTTAGCAGACTAAAACTCACAATGAAACTTTAAATTCAGAATGAATATTGAGAATTCTGGTCAACACAGTATAAATCACTTGGTAAAACTGTAAACCATGATGAATTCAATGCACATTACTTAAAATCTGTTCTAAATATCTTGTAAAATGAAATACTAACTTTACACAACCCCCCCCCCCTAAATATTGGATATAGTACAAATCCATGTTTTAAATTGTAGTCTTGGAATGGTATCAGTTTGAATTCTGCATCAGACTTACTTTTAAAGAACAAAGTTATTTTGGACATCAAAGCCTAATTATATCTTAGTGAGCCATTCTTCCAGAGGGGATCAAACCATAGAACCTGCCATAGAAAGGACATAATATTCTTGCAGCAGTGCATTCGCTGAAGCATATCTGAAGCTATTCCATCCCAGCACATACATTTGTATCACACACAGCACCATGCAAGTATTCAAAGGAAAAAATGAGGAAATAACCCAAGCATTTAGCATCTTTTTCATCAATCCTAATTTATTTAATTTATTTATTTGCTGCCTATCTCATAAAGTATGTTTATTATGCTTACTATTACCATTATGAATGAACGGAGACACATACCAATACTCACACTGGGCTCCTTCAAGGAAATATAAATCACATAGCATATCATCACAGAATTATTTTTTAACTACATGATTTTATGGGGAAATCAATGAAGTGCTCAATAAGTGGTTGTGTTCATAAGATATTAGTCAATAATCAAAGACTTGAGCAAATTTTCTTTCATTTCCAAGCAAGAAACCTCACTAGTTATAAAGGAAAGTCAAGAACACACTATATTTCTACTGCATATAGAAAGCAATACCAAAGTCTAATGCAGACATTGCCTGGATAGAGAAATGAGTGTACCATGTATGTAATCTCCATAATTCCTAGATATTGAGGAGTGGCATACTTACAACACAGTAGCCCACTGCTACTTCATTTACTTATTACTTAGTTATTAGGATGGCTGGTTAGATTATGACCAATGACTATCTAGACAAAAGGATAGAATAGATCAGTGTCATATGTATTTTTCCATTATGAAGGAACCAGAGATTAATCTATGAACACTTGAAGCCCAACATGGAGCTAAATCTCTCAGTGGAACGAAGAGGAACATTCAACAAATATCATTTAAGGAAAATGCAGGCTGCTTACCGTTGAGGGTTCAGATTTAAAAGACTTTAAAATGGATCTTGCAAGGGAACTTGCATGGCTTGACTAGCATTGTCTTATAAAAATCATCATATTAACTTTTTTCAATTAAACAATAAGAAATATAATAAAATATTGTGAAACCAAGATTACTATATATGTGATATAGCACTCACTGTTCAATTCGAGGAGAGAGATACAATTTGGGAAAAACCTGAGTAGCTTCTGTATCCTCAAAACTGACTGAAAGTAGAGCAACATCTTCTCCAGGGTCTTCATTTGCATCCTAAAAACATAAACAGAAAGAAAAAATAAAATAGATTTTGATAGCAATCCTAAGCTTGACCATGTGAAAGATTCTAAGGCCTGGTTGAAGAGGTTGGCAATCTGCTACTTTGGCCCATTTAAAACTGGCTAGAAATAACTTGCTTGACACCAGGAATCTTAACAGAAGTATACTGCTAGCAAGAATTATTCTATATATTTTAGGTGCATACAGTAGACATAAATTAAATGTCATTGCCATGAATTTGGCAGATGTCAAATTATTGCTAGGAGGCATGTCATGATATTCTTATGTAGAAAATATTGTTCTCCAAAGTCAAATCAGCTGTTAAAAAAACACCTAGCTAACTGGACAACAAGAAATGATTTTACAGTGCTGCATTAACTGCATTCCTATAATATTTTACCATGACAGTTTGTGACAATATCATGGAGGAAGTAATTGGTGCCCAAAACTGGTCTAAGTGACCCTTGAAAATCTGGCACAATTTTTCAGTTCTGAGCACCATTATTTACTCTAAAAATGATAGAATAAAAAAGCAGTTATGTACAATTATAAAACCATATATCTTTCCAATGTAATTAACATCCTAGAAATATTTTTGGGGAAAAATCATATAGCTCAGATTTGTTTCTTTGTTTGTATATTTTCTACCGTTATTATTTTTACAAATAATAAATAAGGCACTGAACATATCCAACACAACTTTTTCTTCCTATTTATAAGATTTTATATTCTATATTTCTTTCTGCATTTCATGGCTGAGTAAATAGGCAGATCTAAGAGTGAGTATTCCAGTATAACCAATAAGCTTCCATAGTTGAGGATTGATTTGCAGAACATTTTGCTGGTCATACTACAACTATTAAACCTTGCAAAGTATGTTGCAATACCATTTCAGCTCCATTCTCTGCTGTCTCCAACCAGGAGGAGTGGGAAAGTTTTCTAAGATTTAAGTTGTTGCTTTGATAAATCAATTATTTGTTTTTGAATTATACAGTTTTCCATGTTTAAACGTGATCCCCCTGATTCATTCCCTTAATTTAAGAACAAAATATGATTTGATAAGAATTACAAAACAGAATATAGGCCATATTATATTATTATATTGCTAGACTACATCGACAGTTTAGTTATGAAAGCCTTGGAAAAGATATTCAGATCCCATGATGTGTCTATACCAACAAAGATCAGAACAATGTAAGCAATGGTATTCCCACTGATACTCTATGGAAGTAAAAGGTGGACTTTGAAAAAAGGAGGGCAATATTGATATTGATGCTTGTGAACTTTGGTGTTAGAGTGGACTCCAGAGCACACCATGGACAAGCAAGAAAACAAAGGAATGGATCATCAAACAAATCAAGCCAGAGTTCTCACTTGAGATACAAATAACCAAGCTCAAATTATCCTAGCTCAGACACATTATGTAAAGACCTAGCTCCTAAACAAGCCACAGAAGTCTGGTTTCCATGAAGACCTAATGGTTGTCCTAGTATTAATTTAAAAGTAAATAAACTATATTATGATTTAATATTATGCATGAACAAACTAACCATAAATTCAAGATGTAAATGAAATCCACTAATCCATTGACCTCTTCTCTCCTTTTTTATATTTTTTTTCTTTGTTATACATCTTTTCTATTATGCAAGATTTTTATATTTTGATTATTTTTCCTCTTTTAAACCATGTTGCATTGCTTAGGATCCTAATCAGAAGATTGGTTCCAGCTCAGGCATCTTCCAATACACCAACAGGCCTTGCCATATCATGAGTTTGTAATTCTCCATAGCCACTTTTCTTCTGCTTCAGAGAAAATAAAACTTTTGCTTGTACACTTTTGACTTGTGTATCATCAGAAGTTCCTTTAGAATTATAATTAACTTGTGGATTATGATTAAAAGCTCCTATGTTCCAAAACAAAATTAAATGTTTATACCGCTATACACAGTAATTTTCATGAAAAATGAAATCTGTAGCTAAGCTAATTAAATCAGTGGTTTTCGGAATGTGGTTCCTCAGGAGGGGCAGAGACCACTTAGAAAAAGGCCAGGCATTCTAAGGGGCAACCAGCCTGTCATTTTTTTTCTTGTCATCAGAAGCTAAGCATTTCAGCTACAACCAATTGCTATGTTAATCATAGACGTACAAAGAGAGGTTTCCAACCTACAACCAGTGTCTTCTATTTAAAATACAGCATCCAGGGAAGAAAGGGCATGAAATGATAAGGACTGGTTCTCTTTTATCCACATTGAATTTGCTTGCTTTTGGTTCTTTTTTTTCCTTCTACCAATAAAATTGGGACAAATTTCAAATACAGAAACGTTTTCTTGTCTATGTAAACAAATTGTTAAAAGAGATGGGGGATTTTACTAACTAGAAATGACTTTAAGAAACAGATAATTTCAGGATATCAGATAACCTATATGGTTATATGGTTTTAAAAGAAAATTAGAGAATTCATAGTGGAAACATGGGAAACTGCCTTATGCTCAGCTTATCTAATTTAATACTGTGCATGCTTATTAGTAATAATATTCCATAGTTTAAGTTTGAAAATTTTCCCTCTTACCTAAAGATGCAAAGAACTGGAACTGAAACAATCTGCAACAAATGCAAAATATAATAATCTGCAAGAAATTCAGATATTTAATCACTGAGCTATACAAGTAGTCTTCTACTTATAAATACAGTTGGGCCAAAATTTTAAATGCTGAATGCAGCAAACTTTAAGCAAGACCCCATGTAGCCATTTCATCAGCAACCACAATTCCAGCTCTCCCAGTGTCAACGCTGCTAACATCGGATGTTCTTGCTTTGACAACAGATGAAAATGCAGCCATTTTCTCTATGCTTTTAAAATCAGTTGGTGCTGGGAGTGGGGATTGGGATGAGAGTTCAGTTAGACATAATAATAATAACTGCCATGGGAATCCAAGGACAAACTGGGTCCAGAGCTGATAACATTTGGCAGGCTGGACAGCTGGGGAGAAAGCCTGTGCTTCAAGCTAATTGGGGAATGTGATTTATGACTGTTTATTGGGGGTAGGAACTGTACTTTGTTACTTTGTATCCAGGGGAGGGGAATTTAGTTTTTGGTTTCAACTATGTAGTTGCCGATACTTTCACCCGTCTTTCCCGAATAAAAGATTCTTTAAGGAAAATAATGCCTTGAAATTCTTTTGAAGGGTTTCATCTGTCAGAACCATGACACCCAGTTTCAGTTGTTAGGTAATCTTGGGTCATTAAACAGAGCACTGGGGAAAGGCCTAGGCCTTTTGGGAATTGTGAAGCAGAGAAAGGGCCAGGGCCCTCTCTGCATCCCACTGGGGAGAAGAATCATGAGAAGGATGGTGTTTACTAAATTTGAGATCCATTTCTCTCGCGTGCACGAGTCTCTCTCCTCCCTACACAGAAGGGAGAGCAAATCCATTGGCATGCTGGGGGAATGGATCTCAAATCTAATATCCCCTTCCCTTGCAACTTTTCTTACCAGCTTCCCCACTGATTTTGGGGGGAAGCTGGCAGAAAAGATTGCAAATGGCAGCCATATGATTGCAGAGCACTTGGCAACTGGTCATAAATACAAACAAGTTGCCAAGAGTCCAAAATGTGATCACATGATTAGGTGGAGGCCAAATTTAACCTATAGATAAAACAAAACAGTGATCCTGTCTGTTGAATGACCAATTAAGGTATAGAGATTCAGCCTTTTGTAGAGGGATTGAACTTGTTTAAAGACTACAATTAGGATTACTCTCATTTCCAGACTCAAGAGGTGAATCCTATATCCCTGGATCAGACTAGATCAGGTTGACACAAACTTTGTGTACATAAATGAGGCATCAGTGTAATGCACTCTTACCTGGGAATACCTTTTAAAAATAGTTTGAAACTTTAGCAGATCAAAAACACTGTTGCTAAATCTTGTTAAAATATCCATGGGTATAAATTCTTTTTGAGTGCAAATTGTAATAAATTTGGATATTATCTCGTATGAATCTTTCCTTATTTTAAGATTTGAGGGCAGTCCTGTTATTTACCACTAACCAAAAAGAAAAAAAAAATCTCCAAGTAGCTATCCTCAAGTTAAAAAAAACAAAACACCACTTACAAAGAGAAAGTAGGGTATTTCTCTCTTTATTATTTTTCTGCTAGCATATAGACTGTTTACTGAAAGCAGCTTTTGCTGCTATTTGGCTTCACTGATCCAGTTTTTAATCTGATGGATGCTACTATTTATTTTTCACTGGTTTGTATTCCATCAGTGTTAATATTTTAAATATAATTGAACTTGCATTTTGTTAATCTTTTTTGGTTCTATTTTTTGTGGGAACATGGATCATAACATAATTCATAATAATGTAATTTTTTGGCTTTAAAATTATTTGTAAATTATCTCCAAAGCATTCAGAGAAAAATGGGCTACACATTTTTTACAATAATATATATATATATTAAAAGAACTCTTTAACTTATGCATTAACATTCACTAATTTCAATTTTATTTATTAGCATGATTTATATTGAGCAGCAGTTTTTATTCTTTCTATAGATGAAGGCCTCAGAATACTGTTTACATTTTTGACTAGCTAAATAAATGAACAATAGAGTGTCTTTTATAAAGAAGAATTCCTGGCAAGTATTGATTCCCAAACACATTTAAAACAGAAAGCATAAACACATTGTTATCTTGCATCCTACTACCTACTGTAACTAAGAACTGGGAACTTACTGGAACTGAGAATTTATTATGAGTCAGAGTGTTAATGGCTAGTCCAACCAAAACATCTGCTCTACACCGTTACTACTATAATTCATTTCCTTTTATGTTTGGAACAGAACCAAGTTGGACAGTTAGACTTTTTTTCTTTAAAAAAGAAAGAGAAGAAGCCAAAGAAGGCTGAGTATAATGAAGGAATACTTATATAGGGTAGGATAAGTACTCATAATTTGCCAACAACTATACAAACCTGTATGACTGTTGCTCCAAAGGT